TGAGACTCCAACAATTTATGTATGTAAGTTAATTGTGAAAATTAAAAATTGGTGTGATATATCAAAACGATCTTTTTAAATATTCTAATACTATACATATAATTTGAGATATTAAAATTTAAAAATACAAAATATAAAAACATATTATTTTTTTGTCTAAAAAAAAAGGCTAAAACAGAAAGTAGACACATTAATGAAATTGGAGGCAGACAAGCAGTAAAGTCGATGTACAATAAAAGAGTGACAAATAGATTTATAATGAAGTAGTGTGTACTAAAAAGGAAAAACAAATCTCTCAAGTAAATCGAAGGAGAATAGTGGGTCATGTTCCCAGTAAACAATGTGCATTGTCAAAGGCAAACCACGGCACCATAATTACATCGGCCTTCAGGCCATGTCAACTTGTACTTTCATTTATTCCCGCTTGTAATAGATATCAAATAAATCTGTCCATCAAAATTAAAACAAATAAACATAATTATATAATATTTAGGTATCTATTCCACAACAGATAATATTATTAGTTATATTTTATAATTATATAAATATTTATTTATGATATTTTTAAATATACATTTTTTCTATAAATAAGAGGAATAACCAATATAGGTTGTGATGAGACTGTTTATCCTTAATCAAATTTGAATTTGAGCATGTGAATATAGAGAAAATTATGTTAGAAATGTCAATGTGCCACCCCTAATAAGCTTTGCAATGAGCAATTCAAATTTAATCCAACATAGATATCGAATACGGAATGTAACCAAAAAAAATTGAGAGGGAGGAGGGAGGGAGTAATATTTAAAGGGGAAAACTTTAGTTTCATCGTACTCTTGCTCTAGTTATTTACCCCACCACATGCATTTGCCAGCTATTTCATATGGCATGCCATACTCAGATTTCACTGTAACATTACTCACTTTTCTATTTTTCTTTTTTATATGTTCCACAGTAATTTCTCATGATTGTTTATTTTCCTTATTATATTCCTTGGAAAGTGAAATAAGTACTGTAATAATTAATAATTAACTTAAACAAAAAAGGAACTAATTAAATTATGTCTTATAAATAACTTCCCCTATAAATAAAAGATTATTTAAGATAATTTACCAATAACTAACTTTTCTAATATTTTGTATTGTCTCAATATAAAACCAAACTCATATAAACGGAAACACATGAAATTTTTGCTACTTTCTTGACCAGTCTATTGACCCAAAATGTTTGACTCAAATTTAGCTTCCATTTTTTATTTGGGGTGTGCTCTAGTTTTTTTCTTTATAATTGACTAATTATCTGCATATTCATTATTAGTAAGAATTTAATTTAGTTTTATAACAATTTTTTATTTCTCTTATTTATTTTTTCTATGTTTGTATTGATATATTATTTTTTTTTGAATCTAGTGATTTTAAATATGTATTGGTGTGAAAAGCTATTAAATACAATTCACAGACTTAAAAATAAAAATAAATAAATTGAAATAAAAAATATTACAACTTTTTCAATTCTTAAATAAATTTAGGACAAAAAGTTGGAGGGGAGCATCTTTCCTTTAAAATAATTTATTTTGATGAGTCGTTTGAATGTTATTATCAAAACAAATCTAAAGATTTTCCAGAAAGCGCAAAAAAAAAAAGCAAAAAAGGTTCCTTCTAAAACCACCAAAATAAATCCCCACACTTCCTTAACTTTCGCACTTTGTTCTCCACATACCAGATCCCGCCACCGTATACGCCTAAAATGGACCCACCATCCCCGGCTCCGCCGTCTACCGCCACCGATTCACTCTTGGACTTACCACCTCTTCCCACTCCGACCACCAAGGTCCGCCTTTTATGCAGTTATGGTGGACATATAGTTCAACGTCCTCACGATAAAACTCTTTGTTATGCCGGCGGTGACAACCGTGTCGTCGCCGTCGACCGTCGCACCACCATTTCTTCTCTCTCCGCCCTTTCTGCCCATCTTTCTCGTACCCTTTACGGTAATCGTCCATTTTATCTCAAATACCAGCTTCCTGACGAGGAACTTGATTCTCTCATCACCGTCACCACCGATGAGGACTTACAGAACATGCTTGAAGAACACGATAGGACCATCACTGCGTCTGTTACATCTTCCCGTATCAGATTATTCCTCTTTCCCGTCAAACCCGAATCGTTGGGTTCGGCCCTACTTGATTCTAAAGCTGATTCTTGGTTTTCTGATGCTTTGAATAATACCCGGATCGCCAGAAGGGGTCAATCAACTGATTCGGGCTTTGGTCATGAGTTAATCGGTTTTGAAAATTTGGGTGGGTCCAATTCGGTTGTTTCTTCAGAGGGACAGGGTGATAATTTGAGTGCAATCGGAGGGAGTGCTGGAGATGCCAAGCAAACATTGGATTTTGGTGGTGGTTCAGTGCCTGAGTCTATGGTTTTGGAGACTAGCTCTTCATTTGGGTCGACCAGTTCTTCCATTTCTATGTCCAATATACCTGCTATTGGAGTTCAAGCCGAGGATGGTGGTGTCAATTTGCAGGACAAAAGAGTCAGAGTGCCCTCATCATCAGCTTCAATAGAGAGGTACTATTTTCTTTTTTCTATTTGATGTTACTGTTTGTTTTCTAGTTATGCTATTGGAGTCATTGATAGCATGTAGGTTAACAAAAGTTTAGATTTTTGGTTGACCTACTGGTCTGATGAGGGTTGAGTTCTGCACCAATACTTGTGCTGTATAAGTAAGTATTTTTCTTTCAATTGAATTCTACTTCCCTGTGACAATAGAAGAGTAAGGTAGTAAGGTGCCGAGGAACATATTGATTTATATTTTTGACTTACAGGGTTCTTTGATTTTCACTCAAAGAAGAAAAAAAAGACCTTGTTAAAGAGCTACAAATTAGTGTAATGAATCCACAGTAGAATTTCATTTGGGATTAACTAACAGCCCTCCCCAAAAAGAAGAAGAGAAATCCATAATTTTCTACAGTGTAGTACCTCCAAGTAGAATGCTTTGGCCTGTATTCTAGTTTGTTATGCTATTTGTATGGTTACTGTAGTTTTATGAACTGACAGTCTGTTCACTTGATAAGTCGCTCTTTCCTCTTTATTATTCCCAGAAGGAGACTTCTAAGGTTTCTTGAGCTTATGAATCTATATGCTCAAGTTAGTGGTGGCCTTTTTATTGTTTGCTTGTTGAGAATACACTTAACACTAGAAATAAGATACGTGCATTTATTTGGATCTGTTCCTTACCTTAGGTTGTAATTATCTCCTCTAAAATCTGTACTTATGGGCCTCTGTCTTGATTGATTTCCACAGCGATAGTATCGTTGGAAGTACGGATTTTCAACCTAAAGTTGGAATTCACCAAGAGCCACTTATTCAAGTTATGTCCAGTATGGCTTCCCACAGTCTCTTCGAAGCAGAAGGCTCCAATGCCAATCCCTCTCTCATTCAGACGCCAAAAATGGTTCAGGTTTCTGGGTATCCACTACCTCAGACATTGGATGGGAAGCACCCCCAACCTGGAATGCAGTATGTTCATGGTGGTGCCTGTTATGTACCTCATTATCCTAGCGGTCCTTTGCCAGTATCATCCTGTTATCCATTTTATCAGGTTCCCATGCAGCAGCCACAACAAACTCCTTATCCTCTGAATCAACAATACCCAATATACTTGGTTCCTATGCAGCAAATGCAATCTCACAGTATGTCAGTGTTGCCCAACATTAATCATGCAGCAGTAATGGCGTCCAATCGGCCACCCTTGCATCCACAAAGTGTCATAAACCCTCCATCAGTAGCTTATAAGGAGGTCATGGCGGCTCAATCAGTGCCTGAGTCGGGTTCAAAAGTGTACACGACTGTCCCAACAGCATCACTACCCATTAGTGCGCCTTCTCAGACTCAGCAACAATATACTGTCCTTCCTGAACCACAGCTTATTTCCCAACCTGTCTCAACTGCATCAGTTCCTGCTGCAAATGATGCAAATGAGTTTGACGATGATCTTGCATACAATCAGATATATAAATCTCAGCCTCCTCCACCTTCTTTCATTTCCCAGTGCCAAAACATTACAAAGGGGGCAGCAGTATTACTGTCAGAGTCTTCCATGCAGATGCACAGTAACAATGTAATGAACCAGGCACCATCACATCCTCAGTGAGGCTGTGAAAAGAAGATCAAAAGTTTTGATAGTGGGATCATCTTTTGTTATAGTTCACAAATTTTAAGATTTATTCTTTCATGTTGTTTGAGGCACATAAACCATAAGTTTTTCTTGTGTAGTTTGTTTGTCTCTTTATTTAATATTTGTTAGGACAATACCCATACTCTGAATACATCAACACCCAAAAAGAGAAAATATTGAAGAAAGTTAAACAATGGTGAAGACTGAAAGTAGCTGTTTTTGTTTGTGTGCATCAGAATATATGTGATGAATAACAGTGTGTTTGTTTTACCATAAATATTTGTCTGTTAGTGGTTAGTAACTTTTGCGCCTCTGCTATTGCTTGTTAAGTGAATACTCATCTGTTACTGGAGTTACCTTATTAATGTCTATACGAAGGCTGAGGCTGCTTAAGAGTAGTTTTATTTGGCCCTGTGACACATCCTAAACATGACACTTGTATTCAAGAATGTAGTTGCACTCGTATCCCTCCTATTGAAGTAACAGTGCCTGTGCTGTGTATCACGAGAACAAGATGGTATGTATATCTGAAGATATACATTAAAAGGTGTACAGGACAAGAAGATTGGTTACTTGCAACTTGCAATATTAATCTTTCGTGCAGAAGTTTCATTAGTTGAATCAGGATTTATCAAGATCACCAAATTTTGTATCTGTTGGACCTTTCCAGCTGGTGGGGACAAAGTGAAACAAGTAAAATTGGGTGATGTTGTTTTGATGTGAAGTCTGTGAACAGTTGGTTTCGTGTGTGAATTTTCTCTTTCTTGTTATTGCTCTCACTATACAGAATCAGGATGAACAAGCCATCCATCAGAGAAAACATGCAGAGACAAACAGCACTAGGATTTAGTGAGATCGTATCTCTTACATCAGAAAACTTTGGCAAGTATTTGCAGCTGCAATAAAATAGCTTACAGGTTCTCATCATTGCTCTTGCTAATAAATAACTTAGCTATGTTTGGTATTACCTTTCTTCTTTTCCTAACCGCGAAGGAAGAAGCTCTAGGTGTTCGAGGTGCAGGAGATGCTGACTTTCTGAACTTAGCTCGTCTTGCTGGTGTCATTTTTCCACTTATTGAGTTGGATTTTGTACGTGAACCGTTCTGAGATTGTTCCAGGTCTTTTCCATGTATCTCCTCCCATATCTGCAACTGCATATCGACCAACATCCTTACAGAAGGTGAATGCTCCACTTTCAGGCCTTTTTGCTCTTCTTCCATCTTAAGCTCTTGGATTTCCTTTCTGATGACCTCTGTCTTCATTGAGATCTCCTTTTCACTTGCTTGCAAAGCTTTTACCCAAGCCTCAGCTGCTTCAACTTTCTTATCAGCAATTTCAACTGCCTGTCCTGCACGTCCTTTTAAGTACTCATACTCAAATCTTGAAATAGTTATTGTGGAGGTGGAAGCGGATGCTCTACTTTTCATAGTTACATCAGTAAGTCTTTTTAGGTTGCTTAGGACAGTAGCTTCTGATAATTTGATTGTTTCAAGCTCTTGTATTGCAGCTTCCCATCTTTCCTCGGCCAAGACTGTTTCGGATTGTGTTTTCTGAATTTCTTCTTTGACTTTTGCAGCTTCCTCAATGGCAGTCACTCTTTCTTTCTCAGATTCTTCAGCTTCATTTGTCAATTGTTCAAGACTGAGCAATAAACTTGAAGCAATAGAGGTTGCTTTTCCTTCATTGTCTGATGCAGCTTCCAGTTTGGCTTTTGCCCTCAAAAGCTTCGTGTTGAGGCTCTGAATTGTCGAGTCTGCCTTGTTTCCCTTTTTCTTTAATCGAGCTGATTCCTCAGAGATGCGTTTGAGCTCATTCCTCACAACGTCCATTGAAGCCATGAACTGAAAGCTGTCTCTTTTAATGGAAGCTAGTTCATTCTTTGCTGTCTCCAACTCTTGTTTCAATGACTGCAACAATGATAAGTCTTTTTCCAGGAAATCAGACCCGAACCTCAAACTCTCGTTTTTCTGAGTCCATCTGTCCATTTCCTTGACTTGCTTCAATTCACTTTGCAAAACTTGGACATCTGAAGTTGTCGAGGCCAGCTTTTCTTGTAGCTCCTCTGATATCAGAATTTCTTGGACCATGTCATTTATTTTCTTCCTGTTCTCCTCCATTGCTGCAGAATGTTTCTCGGCGTCTTCCCTTCTTTGAGCTTCAATTGCTCTGAATTCTTTAATTGCCTCTATTCGAGCTAGCTCAACTAGCACGAGCTCTTCATTAAGTTTCTCAACCTCCTTCCCTAACGCTTCTACTTTGCTTGAAAAAGATTGCATTTTCAAACTAGAGGTTTCTATTTCTTGCTCTGCTCTTCTTTTTTCTTCTATGATAGAAGCCATATCTTGTTTAAGCTTGATCAGCTCTTCTTTTGCATATCCCAACTCTGTTATTACTTTGGAGTGCTGATTATTCTGAGGATTGCGAAGTGCCATCCCCCAGTTTCCCCCTCTTTTTGCCGTCTTTAGTTTCTCCAAATCTTGATTCTGGACACTTAATCTTGAATTCAACTCTTCTATCCTTGAACTTAGCTCCTTCACCATCTTTCTCGCGTCCAAAAGCTCAGTTTCTGCTTGGGCTCTTTCTACCTCTGCAACTTTTCTGCTCTCACCAAGTCGCCCCATGTCCCTTCTTGCTATGTGAAGTTGGCTGGTTCTTTGATATGGCTTCTGATAAGAGTATGCAATACTAAGGTCAGTTCACCAAGAAAGACTCAAATATGGTGAATGAAAATTGGGTAAAAATTATAGTAGTATACCTCTGGCTTCATAATTGAGGATTGGTTCATTGCAGAATTACAAATCAATGGCTGCCTTTACTGACCAAAGTGCCGCACGGAGTGGAAGTCTAAGTCCGTGACACTAAGCTCTCTTACATGAAACTCTCCTCCCCTTTTGGATTGCTCTATAAATTGGCATCAAAAGAGAAGTCCCACCTTCTTAGATGAAGCTCTGGCTATGTAATTTACCTCTGTTACTAAGGCTGCTGAAAGCAAAATCTTAGAAACTTCATATACACATGTGGAAGAACTATATACACAATATAGCTAGAGGAGAGCATATTTACCTGGTAGTGGTTGGTGGAAAGTACAGCAAAATGGTTCATCAGTATGATGCTGGAATTGCCAGTTGGAGCAGGTGTTATGAGCTCCATAGAAAAGCCATGAAATAAAAGGAAAAATAAGGAGGAGGGATAAAGCTGTTGATGATTGGCTGCTATTACAAGCAAAAATCTTGTCTTTTCCTTAAAGGCAACTCAACTATCAATCTAGTGGCACAAAATGATTATACGTAAATGTGTCCTTTAATTTAATCTCATTTTATATTTATGTCCTTCAACTTTGAGTGTGCATAAGTAGGCACTTTAATTTGTATAAGTTTAACAAGTAGACACATGAGTTCCATGTGACATAATACATGTAGGACACCACGTAGGACACAAATTGTCATGTAGTATGCCATGTAGAACATGTGTGTTTATATGTTCAACTTTATACAAGTTTAAGTGTCTACTTGTGCAGATTCAAAGTTAGAGAGTATATTTATGATCTGAGGCCAAGTTAAAGGGTATATTTATGTACTATGCCAAATGATTTACTTGACCCTTCCACCCGTCTATTTAGCAAAACAAGAGAGTTTTTTTTTGTTTTTTTGTTTTTTTGTCAGATTATACTTAGTATTAAATAACTACGTCAATTTTAGAGTTTCAAAGTATTATCAATAAGGTTAATTTAATAAAATACACCTCTAATTAAAGTTTTTTTAAGGGGGTGTGTCAGGTCAACATGAGTCAAGTAATACGAAATGGAAGGAGTAGTAGTACCCTTTTTAATTTTTATTTATGTGTCAGGTCAACATGATTCAAGTAATACGAAACGGATGGAGTAGTAGTACTCTTTTTAAATTTTATTTTTATAACCCATAGTAAATGCAATATGGATTTGAACGTCGGCGTATTTTTATTTTTATATTTTTGTAGTTTTTGAAAAAAGTTAGTAAAAATGAGATTGTTTTTCTAAATCGTGGCGTTTGTCTTGTCACTTGATTAATCTTGCCTTGCTGCACGTAAAACCTCCCACAGAAATGTAGTTGACTGTTCTACATGACTGCATCCACACATAGCATGAGAAACAAAAACAAATGGATAATTTATAATTCGAGTTATTTTGCAGAATAACACTTGTATTATAGTTTCTTAATGACACATTACATTCGCGCAAGTCTCTTTATAGCCATTCTTGAGCTATCAAAACTATTTCATAAGTCCTTTTCATTTTTTTTTTTAAAAACTAAACAACTTTATAAATGGCGTTTGGTTAAAGAATTTGCCCAAAAATTTGGGAAATCAAACATTTCTATCAACAATTTTAACAGATTTAAGAAGTAGGGGACCAATGTTTCAAGACAGAACAAGTGCTGTTGCTACTCCCCTCAATATGTTAAGGTGCAAGAGTCGCCACATCGTTAGATTCTAAACCATATGGACGGTGTTAGTAGAGGTTCATCTACGATTTCATTTTAATAATATTATAATATGATGGCGTTCATAATTAGATATTTAAAAATTTAACAATTTTTTGAATATATATATAAATGTATCGGGCAAAGAAACAATGTATTCCTAAATTCTGAAAAATCTGAGATTAATATAATTTCAAAAAACTTTCAATTAAGATATAATTACTGCCTAAATTGTTGAATTTCTGTACTTTATACGCAGAATTCTTTATGTACTAGCTAGCTGCTCTTTGGCTATTTTGTCATATTAATAAAACTGGTTTTACATTAGTAGATTTAAAACATATCAAGATATTTTTATGATTAAATAGGATTAATAGTTTGAATTATATAAATAATTTTTAAATACATAGAAAATGTCATTCCTTTTTAAAAAAAATGCTTTTAAATTATGTGAAATTGAACAAAATACACTTAGTTAATAATTTTATCCAAAATATCCTTGTCATTAATAAATAGTCCAAAAATACGTTTGTTATTACTTAATGAATTGAAAATACTCTTTTTCTAGTAAATATATTATAATTTTTTTTAAATAAAAAAATATTCATCAAGAGAACGAGGGAGTACATGTGCATAAAATAGATCTCAGCGATCGATCTACGGCTCTCAAGACAAATCACGTGACTGTTTGGATCGAACCGAAAGAATTGTGCGTGACACTAACAAGGCTCGTTGTACAGCTTCTCGCACCGCAACTTCAACTTGGCTCTATCAAATTCCCTCCATTCCACCGATGCCATTGTATTGATATCAAAAATTGAAACGATATGTTGATGTACAGTTGAAGACAGGAGAGGAGATCAAATGGACGTGGAGAAATCGTCCTTATGCAATTGCGTGGTGAATTTTCTCTTGGAAGAGAACTACTTGTTATCGGCATTCGAGCTCCTTCACGAGCTTCTCGATGATGGCCGTGACGATCAGGCAATTCGTCTCAAACAGTTCTTCTCTGATCCTTCCCAATTCCCTCCTGATCAGATCTCTCGCTTCAATTCTATCAGAGGTTTGTCGTTTCTCATGTCCTTTCTATTGATTTCCTACTTACCCTATCCACTAAATAAATCCGGTGTGTTTATGCACATTTTCTGCATTTGCTATTTATTGTTGTGACAATCATTTCCATACTATTTCAGCTGAAATTGAGTGAATCAATCCCTTTGATTAAGATTAGGTTGTGTTTGAGTTGTAATGTGCTTTTGACTTCTGATGAACATCATGCTGCAATAGCATTTTTTAGGACTAGCTGTTGAGTTTCAGCACACTGACTGAGGAATCTCATGTAATATAAGAACAAAATTGAGTATACAGAATAAGTATTACATGTTTGACTGTATAAGATTCATTCCCTCAATGAAATATTGAATGATCCGAAAATTTTAAGCCAGAGTATTTTGTTGTATAAATTGGAGGAATAAGTGATTCTCTATGCGTATTTCGTTATTATGAATGGTGAAACATGTTTGCTTGTGCTAGAATCTTGGTGTTATTGGCTTGACTTAGACATTAAGCATACTAATTTTGTAAATGAGGTAATAGAGATCACGATGCTTATAATTAATTAATTACTATCAACCATAAGGTGGCTATGGAAAATATTTAAATAGAACAATGGCTTTAGCAAGAAAAGGAGCTTAAGTGTGGTCATTCATTTTCTTTTGAAATCCAGAGGATGCCATAAACATCATTTACTCAGTTAGGGTGTTCTAACATATCATGGTAAAATAGTTTAGCTCAGTAGTTTTTCCAATGTCAGTTATTGTTGTGGTCTTTAGCAGAGCTCTTTTTTCCTTTTCCATTAGCTGTATTTCTTCTTGGGTGCTTGTCATGTTGTTACTTCTTTTTTTTTTCTTTGTTTATGATGGTGGTGTTTGGATCAACTGTGCACACCTCGGCCAATCATCAAGCAGATGCTATAGCCCTCACGTATAGGTGGCGGTTGGTGGGTAAACTGCCACCAAGGTTGGAGCAGATGGGTTTATGTCCTTGTTTTTTTTTTCTCAATAGCTTGTTGTAGTGAAATGTCCTGCAAGTGATATTGGTTCTTGTGTGTATATTGTCGGTAGGATATTTTCCTTTCAATTGAAACCAAGAGAACCTATTGCTTTCCATGTGAGTAGTCTGTCCTTTTCTGTTCTAACCAAGAATGTTTGGATTTCGTGAACAACATGAGCAATTTATGAAAGTTTCATGGAAAAGTTGCTATTTTCTTCAATAACTCTTGGTAATCCCCCACCCCCCCCCCCCCAACAAAACAAAAAAAGA